GAGTTATGCCAAGCTCGGTGATTAATCTGGAGATGAATATGGACTCCTTTGCAGCCTGCGCAAGTGCCAGCAACTCCGCCTCTGTTATAGAGGTAGTCACGGTGTCCTGCTTGTTAGCGCGCCATCCAATAGTCCCTCCAAATAGCTTTATTACGTAGGCTTGCGAGCTCTTCCGATTAATTGTGTTATTGGCAAAGGAAGCGTCACTATACACATCAAAAGTGTCTGTTTCGCCGAGTTGTAGTGCAAGTGCCCTGGTGTTTTATAGATACCAGAATAGGTGGTCCAAGGCCTCATAGTAATCATCGCTCGGGTTTATATTAAATTAACAAAGTCAAGAAACAGCAAAGGCAATATCAGGTCAAGTGATTACTGCCAGGTAGAGCACTGATCCAGTCTTGCGTTAATACTGCTGTATTGATGCTATTAATGCGTGCTCTTTGTTTAGAAGAAGTTCTTTTGTGGTCATTAGAGTAAGGGAAGGCTTTCCCCCTTGAATCCTAAAATGACTAGTGATCTTATCCACGAATAACGATTGCGACAGCTAAATCAGACGTTGGTTTTGGTTGCAAATAATCTTAATTCCAAGAAACCACTATAGCGTATTTCCTCTAGAGAGTTGGTATTTTTCTCAAAGCTTGCCTATTGTCCATTTGACCGATTTTTAATTAGTCTTCTTGTAGGCAACAATAAGGTTATCTACATAAAAGAATATTAATATTCCTCCTTTCGAGAGATAGCATGGCTTATAAGGTATAGACTTAAACCTAATGTTCGTAAAGGTAGTGGTTAGTTCCTTTTGCCAAAGTAATGGTAACTGGCGCAAGCCGTATAGTGCTTTCTAAAGCTTAAGAATTAGACCAGGCTTTTAGTAGCCTCTGGGCATCCGCATATAGACGTCCTGCTTTAGTTTAGTATTAATAAAGGCGTTAATGACATTATACTGGAGAAGTTCTAAATCAAAGCGAGCAGCTATAGCCATGAGTGTTCGGAAAGATCTGCCGGCAAGTGTAGATGCATAGGTATCCTCGTGTATCGACTTGGCCTGTTGATCGCCTTGTACAACAAGCCGGGCCTTGCACTTGGTGAACCATCCGTGCTTGTCGAACTTATATATATAAACCTATATGCAGTCCAGGAGTTCCTTGCCTGCGGCTTCTTCTCTCTGAACCTTATGCCAGGAGCGTATTTCTTTATGGCTTTTAAGATAAGTCTTTTCTGCCTTGCAGAATAGGTTACCTAGTAAATGGTTCTTAAGGTCTTTATGCCTTTTTGGCAATATTAGCATATCTCGCTGGTGTATTCGGCGTTGGCCGTCACCTAAATCTATCAGCTTTGCAGATTGTGTTTTGCAATTAGGAGAATCTATCAGCTTAGTAGATTCTCCTCGACTTCCCATAGACTGAGGTTCTCTGCTATTAGGGTGGCAGCTGGCCGAGCTCGCCTGCTTCTCGAGCTTCTGCTTACTTACCACCTTGCTATTCCAGGTCCCTTTCACAGATGCAAGTCAACCGGCATTAAATGCGGCCTCCTAGTAACTGCTCGGAGTTAAAATAACACAAGGGGCTCTATTTGCGCCGTCTCATCCCGGGGAAGTGCCAGCGCTAGGTGGGACATGCACCATCTTGGCAGCTTGTAACTGAGGGGGGTTTTCCCCCTCCTTCCTCACGGGAGGTTCTCTGATAGTAGCGACCAGAAGGGCAGCAGGCCGTAGAGGGCAAGTCTCCGGGGTCAGGTAGGGAGTGAATCGAGCGGTCATATAGGGGTGATCAGTCCCGTCAGGCTCTTCTCGATTGCGATCTCCTACGACTAGTGTCCTGCCAGTCTTACCCTGCGTAATCGTGGGATCACGTTCAAACCCTATATATGGATAACTTGCAGCCTCCCGCTTAAACACTAGTCCTTTAGGCAAGGCGCTTAATTCCTTGTCTTCTTCTTGGGTAGAAGCATCTAGATTAATGCTAGATCCCTGTAGGACCTCAGTATTAGTGAGATGCTGAATCAGTTCTTCCTTGGTTAGTTCTTTTAAATTATCCTTGAGGTGTTGGATATCCCCAGAGAATGTCTCCTTCTCGTTGAAGATCATATCTCTAGTAGAGATGACCTTGTTGGTTAACGGATTCCAGACCCTGTAGATGTTTGTCGAGTTATACCTGACCAGGTATCCTATCTACCCTCGGTGATTGAGTTGTTATCGCTGATTCTTCTTTTTCAAAGCATCGGTCGTCATCGCGAAGGCTTTATAACTGTATACGCGTAGGTATGTTTAATCGGGCTTATGCTCTGTGATAACCACGCCGTCCCTAAAGGCAAAGTAAGTGTAGAAATGCTTATATGGTATTTTCTAATTGTAGATATACTTAGGTATCCTATTGTATAGGTATACGGCAGCACGCCAGATCTTAACCCAAAGGAACGAAGGCAGCTTTGCTCTGATTCTCATTGCGCGAGCTTTCTCCTTGATCACACCCCCCGAGCGCTCTGCGCCGCTATTTTAACTTTAGGCATATGGCGCGGAGGGCTCTAGGCGTATCCTGTTTTTAATACTAAGGAAGTCACTTACCTGGTGACTATCCGGGATCTTATTATTACACTCGATAACTTCGGGCCTACACTGGAGTTATCGCTCTAGTGTTCTGAGTAGATGCTCAAGTGCACCGATAAGCGTTAGTGCAGTTTGATCAGGAAGATAATAATCCTAGATATAGCCAGAGTAACAGTCGATAACCAGCATAGCTGAAGTGTAGCCTGGATCCCCACTTATGTCATAGAAATCAATAGCAAGTCGGATTCTAGCCTTCTCAGGTAGAACTCGACTTTGTCGATGGACTTGGCGCTTCACCTTTGCCATTCCATAAGCATTACACTTAACCATGGAGATCCCTCTGATCTTTACCCCTCGAGATTGGCCTACGAGGTGCTTGAGTGCTTTAGGCCCTAGGTGTCCAAGTCGAAGGTGCTAAAAGGTTTCATCTCCACTGCGAGGAGGGCGTTTAGTCCACGAATCATACTGTTTTTATTTAGCTAGGAATGCCGCTGCCGTTGTTAATTTGTCGATATACTCCAGTACGTACTGGTCGAAATAATCCGTTAATGTGCAGAGGATTAAATCATCTTTCCTGCGGATTTAGTTATTATTCCCTTTGGTATCCTAGTAGTAGCCCCTTTTCCGCAACTGGCGGTATGACATAATATTGCATGCAAAGTTTATGCAATGAGCTACATCTCGCAATCTGAGAAGAGAGGGTCCTCGAGGTCCTTGAACGCAAATATCTACGTTCCCGTACCCGTGAATAGCCACTGGTGACTCCCCTGCGTAGACGAAGTCTCCAGATGGTGCTGGTCGGTAGTTGAGGAACCTGCATACTTCATTGAAGATATGGATTATCGATCCAGAGTCAAGGATGGCAGAATATCTAAGAGGGTAGGAGGCACAGTTAAAGGCTGTGATAAAGTTATATATCACTAGGTAGGTTGCCTTGATGTATACTATACCCCGCCCAAGTCACTCATCCTGAGTAATTCTGTCTCTACTTTTGGACAATTATTTAACTTCCTCTACCAAACCAATATTATTCTTAAGATGGTTATTTATTAATCGTTATATCGCCTAGTTAGGCTCCTATCCTTCGGCTTTCTAGGCTAGGAATAAGTATTAGCAGCCTTTCTAGTCATAGAAACCTAAACATCCTCGACAGGTAGGGCCATCTAGGTTCGGATTAATGGTTATCTCTGCTTATTTTCGTTTTATTAATACTCCTCTTCCGCCGCCTCATGCTCTATGCCTATGGCCTTGGCCTTGCGTATCTCGATATACATAGGATGTTTCATCCGTCGCCTAATCTGAGGCATCTCCTTAGACTTCAATAGTGTCATTATCGCGGTCTGTGATTGCAGGTCTATCGTTCCTGGATGCAGCGCCATATATAGCTGCGAATGCGCCTTTCTTGATTCCTGACGGCCTTCCGCTAGCGTTAGCCATTTTGGCTTCATATTAAATATCAGCAGCGACCTCTCGATAATTAAGGGAATTATTGAGGATTTAAGGGCGTCGGTGTTATTGGAAAGTAGATACCTAGCTGGGGAGGATGTGATATATTGCTTAGTTTAGGTCTTCCGCCCAGCATTATGCATCAAGGGCATTAGGGACTTTCTTGCTAATCGCTTCGGCCATAATCATCTCCCACTCCATGACCCACTCGTTAAGTTTATTGATCTTCAGGACTATATATACGGCTTTATGGTACTTATTGCGTGCTTCGGGTCGAAGGCGTTTGTTATATACCACTCCAGATCTTTATAGCTCCTGATACCACTTATCTAATTGGTCTCCTGTGATGTAGGATGTTTTCTAATACGTGGCCGAGACCGTCTTAAGGATAAACTCGACCAGCTTCTGCTCCTGTTTCTTCGTCTCTCTATACGCCGTTTCTTTCAGAGAGTAGATCCTGATATTATGCTTGTATTCCGCTCTTCCTTCAGACGTCAACTCTCCGATTCGCCGGGGCGGTACGTAATCTGAGCCGGGCGTCATTGTGCCACTATCGGGATCGTCCGGATCTGCTTGTCTGGGGTAGTCTCGGATTTCTGGAAGTTCTGGTCGCTGAGGCCATCGGATACGATTAGTCGGATCAATATACTGCCATAGGTCGTAGGTGTGCGCCAGTTTCTTGAATTCGTTGGACTAGGAGTCCCAATCCTCCGGAGACGCGTAGCTAATGGTCCTCTCGGCGTGTTTGGCTGACATGGTGATAGAATGAACCGAAGGCCGTATGCAATTGGGTGCGCGGGTCGCTGAGATGCAATTGAGACTCTTAATTGTCAGACATTACGTGTATTCGGTTTATTGATGTGAATTGGTGTATTCATGTTGTGTTCTGTTGAAATCTGCCCCTTAGAGGTTTTACCATTTCGGTTGTAATCTTAAAATATCCCTGCTTGCACGTGAGATCCCAGCATCTGTTCAACATAAGCATGCGACGCAGATAAGCATGCGACGGAAAAACATCAACACCAGCGAGAACGAAATTTTTGAAAACAACAGCTATTTACAGCGCCGCAACACCGTTCCGACAGGTTAATTGGATAGCCCAGTGTCGGCCGCATTGCCCAGTGCGACTCAGAACATCATGGCGACCCCGTGGCCCCAGGACGAAATTTGGCCCACTGATTACCGAGAGCACGCCACAAATTTGAGCAAATATCTTCAAAAGGCACTGTCAGCCATCGACAATGGAGATGGTCTGCCTGTCGCATCCCGTGGAGTTCAAGTTGCACTTATTGGAGCTCTCACCCTCATCGTCAAAATGCAGAGCACACCCGATCTTGGTCACGTTTACGAAGCCGTGAAAAACGGCCAAGCTGAAATAAAAACCGCAGCAGAAAATTTAGCGCAACACATCAACAGCCTCAAAAATGATCTCAATGAAACAAACACCCAAGCTCAACAAACCATGGAAGAAGTCCAGCGCAGTTCGGAGATTACGACAGACGCAAAAGCGGCTACAAAGGAAGCCACAGAGATCGGTAAAGCAACGATGAAAATGATCAGAGACATGAAGCTCGTAAGCCAGCAGAACCAAGCCAACGCCATGCCTACCTACGCCAACGTGCTAGCAAGGGGAGGGCTAGCGGCAAGCATGCATAACCCACAGAACCAGAAAGCGTCACCTGTTCAGACCCTGCGTGAGATTATCATCAACATCAGAGACCCTGTCACTATAGCCAACATCAGAATGATGAGCCCACGCAGCCTGAAGTCACATGTAGACCTCGCAATCGAGCAAAGCAGCAACGAACACATAGAGAACATCAAGGTAGTATCCTCCAATCAGCTTAAGAGCGGTGACCTGAGCATCAAG